CCTGTGACACCTGAGTGACAGCTGAGTGACAGCTGAGTGACACCCGAGTGACAGCTGTACACCGACATCACACCCGCGCCCTGGGGAGAGAGAGACGGGGTACCTGTGACAACTGCGTCACACCTGAGTGACACCTGAGTGACAGCTGTGACAGCTGAGTGACACCTGAGTGACTCTTGAGTGACAGCTGAGTGACAGCTGAGCACCTCGGTAACACCTGTGTCACACCTGAGTGACACCTGATTTGACACCTGAGTGACACCTGTCACACCTGAGTAACAGCTGAGTGATGCCTGAGACACGTGACACCTGTCACACCTGAGTGACACCTGTCACGTGTCACACCTGTCACCTGTCACACCTGTCACACCTGTCACCTGTCACACCTGTCACACCTGTCATACCTGTCACGTGTCACACATGTCACACCTGTCACACCTGTCACCGCTCGGTGCTGGCAGTGCTGTCCCCACCCTGACCTCAAAGCCCCTTTTTTTACCCAAAATCCCATTTTTTCACCCCAAAATCCCCTTTTTTGCACCTAAAATTTCCCTTTTTTACCGAAAATTCCTACTTTGGGAAAACCTGATTTTTCCCCATGGTTTTTGGGTGCAAAAATCCCATTTTCTGACATTAAAAAATCCCATTTTTTTCATGTAAAAATCACTTTTTCATCGTAAAACCCCCATTTTTTCACCTAAAAATCACATTTTTTCACCCCAAAATCCCTTTTCTTCATCAAGAAATCCTTTTTTTTTTCCAGAAAACCTCATTTTCCCCACTTTTTTTTGGGTATAATAATCCCATTTTTTCCACGTAAACCCCACATTTTTTTCCAGTAAAAATCCCATTTTTGGATGTAAAAATCCCATTTTTTCACCAAAAAATCCCTTTTTTTAACCTAAAATTCTTGTTTTGGGAAAACCCGATTTTCCTGTGGTTTTTGGGTGCAAAAATCCCATTTTCTCTCATTAAAAAATCCCTTTTTTAACGTAAATATCACCTTTTTTTACCTTAAAAACTCAATTTTTTCACCAAAAAATCGCTTTTTTTTTTCCCTAAAACCCCTTTTTTTTGGAAACCCCGATTTCCTTGGGAAAACCTGATTTTTCCCACTCTTTTCGGGTGTAAAAATTCACCTTTTTTACCGTAAAAATCCCATTTTGTACCATAAAAATGCCATTTTTTCACCTAAAAATCACATTTTTCCACCCCAAAATCCCATTTCTTCATCCAAAAATCCTTTTTTTTTTTTTCCCCCAGAAAACCTCATTTTCCCCACTTTTTTTTGGGTATAATAATCCCATTTTTTCCACGTAAACCCCACATTTTTCCAGAAAAAAAATCCCATTTTTGGATGTAAAAATTCCATTTTTTCGCCAAAAAATCCCCTTTTTTCACCAAAAAAATCCCTTTTTTAACCTAAAATTCTTGTTTTGGGAAAACCCGATTTTCCTGTGGTTTTTGGGTGCAAAAATCCCATTTTCTCTCATTAAAAAATCCCTTTTTTAACCTAAAATTCTTGTTTTGGGAAAACCCGATTTTCCCGTGGTTTTTGGGTGCAAAAATCCCATTTTCTCTCATTAAAAAATCCCTTTTTTAACGTAAATATCACCTTTTTTTACCTTAAAAACTCAATTTTTTCACCAAAAAATCGCTTTTTTTTTTCCCTAAAACCCCTTTTTTTTGGAAACCCCGATTTCCTTGGGAAAACCTGATTTTTCCCACTCTTTTCGGGTGTAAAAATTCACCTTTTTTACCGTAAAAATCCCATTTTGTACCAAAAAATGCCATTTTTTCACCTAGAAACGCCATTTTTTCACCTAGAAACGCCATTCTTTCACCTAGAAACGCCATTTTTTCACCCAAAAACCCCTTTTTTTTGGGATAATTATATTTTTTTTGGGACTGACCTCCTTGAGCAGGAAGGAGGAGGCGGCGAAGGCGAAGCTCCAGCCGTAGCGGTGCTGGAAGTGCTGCTCGGAGCCAGGCCTGAAACCCCCTTTTTGCACCCCAAAATTCACTTTTTTTCACCAAAAAAAATCCCATTTTTTCCCCTACAACCCCTTTTTTTGGAAAACCCTGATTTCCTTGCGAAAACCTGATTTTCCCCACTCTTTTTGGGTGTAAAAATTCACCTTTTTATCCCAAAAATTCCATTTTTTACCGTAAAAACCCCATTTTTTCACCTAGAAACGCCATTTTTTCACCTGGAAACTCCATTTTTTCACCTAGAAACTCCATTTTTTTTCCCCAAAACGATGGAATTTTGGGGTTTTTTGGGACTGACCTCCTTGAGCAGGAAGGAGGAGGCGGCGAAGGCGAAGCTCCAGCCGGAGCGGTGCTGGAAGTGCTGCTCAGAGCCAGGCCTGAAACCCCCTTTTTGCACCCCAAAATTCACATTTTTTCACCAAAAAATTTCCAAATTTTTCCCCTAAAACCCCTTTTTTTGATAACCCCAAATCCTTGGTCAAAGGTGATTTTTTTGCACTTTTTTGGGGTGTAAAATTCACCTTTTTCATCGTAAAAATCCCATTTTTTCCGTAAAAACCCCATCACCTGTCACACCTGTCACACCTGTCACATGTCACACCTGTCACACCTGTCACACCTGTCACCTGTCACACATGTCACGTGTCACACCTGTCACACCTGTCACACCTGTCACGTGTCACTTCTGTCACACCTGTCACACCTGTCACCACTCGGTGCTGGCAGTGCTGCCCCCACCCTGACCTCAAAGCCCCTTTTTTTACCCAAAATCCCATTTTTTCACCCCAAAATCCCCTTTTTTGCACCTAAAATTTCCCTTTTTTACCGAAAATTCCTACTTTGGGAAAACCTGATTTTTCCCCATGGTTTTTGGGTGCAAAAATCCCATTTTCTGACATTAAAAAATCCCATTTTTTTCATGTAAAAATCACTTTTTCATCGTAAAACCCCCATTTTTTCACCTAAAAATCACATTTTTCCACCCCAAAATCCCATTTCTTCATCCAAAAATCCTTTTTTTTTTTTTTTCCCCCAGAAAACCTCATTTTCCCCACTTTTTTTTGGGTATAATAATCCCATTTTTTCCACGTAAACCCCACATTTTTTTCCAGTAAAAATCCCATTTTTGGATGTAAAAATCCCATTTTTTCACCAAAAAATCCCTTTTTTTAACCTAAAATTCTTGTTTTGGGAAAACCCGATTTTCCTGTGGTTTTTGGGTGCAAAAATCCCATTTTCTCTCATTAAAAAATCCCTTTTTTAACGTAAATATCACCTTTTTTTACCTTAAAAACTCAATTTTTTCACCAAAAAATCGCTTTTTTTTTTCCCTAAAACCCCTTTTTTTTGGAAACCCCGATTTCCTTGGGAAAACCTGATTTTTCCCACTCTTTTCGGGTGTAAAAATTCACCTTTTTTACCGTAAAAATCCCATTTTGTACCATAAAAATGCCATTTTTTCACCTAGAAACGCCATTTTTTCACCTAGAAACTCCATTTTTTCACCCAAAAACCCCTTTTTTTTGGGATAATTATATTTTTTTTGGGACTGACCTCCTTGAGCAGGAAGGAGGAGGCGGCGAAGGCGAAGCTCCAGCCGTAGCGGTGCTGGAAGTACTGCTCGGAGCCAGGCCTGAAACCCCCTTTTTACTCCCCAAAATTCACATTTTTTCACCTAAAACCTCAATTTTTTCACCAAAAAAAAAAAAAATCCAAATTTTTCCCCTAAAACCCGTTTTTTGGAAAACCCCGATTTTCCTTGGGGAAAAACTGATTTTTTGCACTTTTTGGCGTGTAAAATTCACCTTTTTCATGGTAAAAATCCCATTTTTTACCGTAAAAACGCCATTTTTTCACCTAGAAACGCCATTTTTTCACCTGGAAACTCCATTTTTTCACCTAGAAACTCCATTTTTTTTCCCCAAAACGATGGAATTTTGGGGTTTTTTGGGACTGACCTCCTTGAGCAGGAAGGAGGAGGCGGCGAAGGCGAAGCTCCAGCCGTAGCGGTACTGGAAGTGCTGCTCGGAGCCAGGCCTGAAACCCCCTTTTTGCACCCCAAAATTCACTTTTTTTCACCAAAAAAAATCCCATTTTTTTCCCTACAACCCCTTTTTTTGGAAAACCCCGATTTCCCTGGGAAAACCTGATTTTCCCCACTCTTTTTGGGTGTAAAAATTCACCTTTTTTACCGTAAAAATCCCATTTTGTACCATAAAAATGCCATTTTTTCACCTAGAAACGCCATTTTTTCACCCAAAAACCCCTTTTTTTTGGGATAATTATATTTTTTTTGGGACTGACCTCCTTGAGCAGGAAGGAGGAGGCGGCGAAGGCGAAGCTCCAGCCAGAGCGGTGCTGGAAGTGCTGCTCGGAGCCAGGCCTGAAACCCCCTTTTTGCACCCCAAAATTCACATTTTTTCACAAAAAAAAATCCCTTTTTTTTTCCCTAAAACCCCTTTTTTTGATAACCCCAAATCCTTGGTAAAAGGTGATTTTTTTGCACTTTTTTGGGGTGTAAAATTCACCTTTTTCATCGTAAAAATCCCATTTTTTACCGTAAAAACCCCATTTTTTCACCTAGAAACGCCATTTTTTCACCCAAAAACTCCATTTTTTCACCTGGAAACTCCATTTTTTCACCTAGAAACTCCATTTTTTTTCCCCAAAACGATGGAATTTTGGGGTTTTTTGGGACTGACCTCCTTGAGCAGGAAGGAGGAGGCGGCGAAGGCGAAGCTCCAGCCGGAGCGGTGCTGGAAGTGCTGCTCAGAGCCAGGCCTGAAACCCCCTTTTTGCACCCCAAAATTCACATTTTTTCACCAAAAAATTTCCAAATTTTTTCCCTAAAACCCCTTTTTTTGATAACCCCAAATCCTTGGTAAAAGGTGATTTTTTTGCACTTTTTTGGGGTGTAAAATTCACCTTTTTCATCGTAAAAATCCCATTTTTTACCGTAAAAACCCCATTTTTTCACCTAGAAACGCCATTTTTTCACCCAAAAACTCCATTTTTTCACCTGGAAACTCCATTTTTTCACCCAAAAACCCCTTTTTTTTGGGATAATTATATTTTATTTGGGGACTGACCTCCTTGAGCAGGAAGGAGGAGGCGGCGAAGGCGAAGCTCCAGCCGGAGCGGTGCTGGAAGTGCTGCTCAGAGCCAGGCCTGAAACCCCCTTTTTGCACCCCAAAATTCACATTTTTTCACCAAAAAATTTCCAAATTTTTCCCCTAAAACCCCTTTTTTTGGAAAACCCTGATTTCCTTGCGAAAACCTGATTTTCCCCACTCTTTTCGGGTGTAAAAATTCACATTTTTCATTGTAAAAATCCCATTTTTTACCGTAAAACCCCCATTTTTTCACCTAGAAACTCCATTTTTTCACCCAAAAACCCCTTTTTTTGGAAAACCCTGATTTCCTTGCGAAAACCTGATTTTCCCCACTCTTTTTGGGTGTAAAAATTCACCTTTTTATCCCAAAAATTCCATTTTTTACCGTAAAAACCCCATTTTTTCACCTAGAAACGCCATTTTTTCACCTAGAAACTCCATTTTTTCACCCAAAAACCCCTTTTTTTTGGGATAATTATATTTTTTTGGGACTGACCTCCTTGAGCAGGAAGGAGGAGGCGGCGAAGGCGAAGCTCCAGCCGTAGCGGTACTGGAAGTACTGCTCGGAGCCGCCCGGGCGGTTCATCACCTCGTCGTTGATGCTGGAGATGTAGAGAACCAGCCCCACCACCAGAGACAGCCCTGGGAGCGCGAAATTCCCGGAGATTGGGGAAATTTGGGGAGAATTCGGGGAAATTTGGGGAGAATTCGGGGAAATTTGGGGAAATTATGGGAAAAAAAGGGGGAAATTCGGGGGATAAATGGGGAAAAATGGGGCGAATATGGGTGAAAAATGGGGGGAAATGAGAGTTTGAGGAGGGTTTGGGGGGAAATTCCAGGAAATTTCTGGAAATTTGAGGAAATTCTGGGAAAATTGGGGGAAATTTGGGGGGGAAATGGGGGTAAAAATGGGGATTTTGGGGGAAACAATGGGGATTTTGGGAAAATTCGGGGATAAAAATGGGGTTAGAAATAGGGATTTTGGGAAAATTTGGGGTCAAATTTGCACATTTTGGGAAATTTGGGGTCAGAAATGGGGATTTTGGGGTTTCTGGGGAGATTTTGGGGCTTAGTTTGTGATATTTTTGGGGTTATTTTGGATATTTTTGGGATTATTTTAGGATTTTTTGGGATAATTTTGGGGATATTTTCGGGATATTTTTGGGGTTATTTGGGGATAATTTTGGGATATTTTTGGGGCTACTTCAGGATATTTCCAGGCCAAATTCTCCCCAAATTCAGCCTGAGGCACTCAGGAACCTCCCCCAAAAAATCCAGAATTTTCAGACGGAAAAAAAACAAAAAAAAACCCCAAAATCAACCCCAAATCCCCCCCAAATTCACCCCAACTCCTCTCCAAATCCATCCCAAAATTTCCCCAAAATTTCCCCAAATTCAGCCTGAGACACTCAGGAACCTCCCCCCAAAAATACGGAATTTTCAGACTGAAAAAAAGTCCAAAAAGCCAAAAATTGTCCCCAAATTTGCCCCAAATCCTCCCCAGATCCATCCCAAAATCCCCATCATTAACCTAAAAATTCCCAATAATTCCCCCCAAATTCCAAAAATTCCCCAAAATTCCCCCCAAAATTTCCCCACAATTCCAATTAATTCCCCCAAAATTCCCAATAATTCAGCAAATTCCTCTAAAATTCCCCCAAAATTAAAAAAAAAAATTTAAAAATCCCCAATAATTCCCCGAATTTCCCCAAAATTCCCACCAAATCTCCCAAAATTCTCAATAATTCCCCAAAAATTCCTGGTAATTCCTAAAAAATTCCCAATAAATCCCAATCATTGCCCCCAAATTCTCCCAAAATTCCCCAAAATTCCGCTCAATTTCCCCAAAATTCCCCCGAAATCCAAAATTTCCCCCAAAATCTGCCTGAAAAGTTCCCCCAAAATTAAAAAAAATCCCCAAATTTCCCCAACATTCCAAAAATTCTCCCCAAAATTCCCCCTAAATTCCAAAAAATCCCCAAAAATCCCCCAAAAATTCCCAGTAATTCTCCCAAAATCCCCCCAAAAATCCCCAAATTCCCCAAATTCCCCCCAAAAATTCCCCAAAAATTCCCCCAAATTCCAAAAATTCCCCGAAATTCCCCGAAATTCCCCGAAATTCCCCGAAATTCCCCGAAATTCCCCGAAATTCCCCGAAATTCCCCGAAATTCCCCAAATTCCCCCCAAAAATTCCCCAAAAATTCCCCCAAATTCCAAAAATTCCCCGAAATTCCCCGAAATTCCCCAAATTCCCAATTACTGAGGATGTTTTCGGTGTTTTCGGTCACCAGGTTCAGCTCCGGCTCCAGGAAATATTCGGAGGCCACGCAGCGCCCCTTCTCCCGCCCTGGCAATTAACGAAATTAACACTAATTAGTGCAAAATGAACCCAAAAATAACCCCAACATTAACCCAAAATGATCCCCGAAATTATCCCAAAATTACACAAAAATTCACCCAAAAATAACCCAAAATTAACCCAAAAATTACCTTAAATTAATCCAAATTTGGCCCCAAATTAACGAAATTAACACTAATTAGTGCAAAACAAACCCAAAAATAACCCCAACATTAACCCAAAATGATCCCCAAAATTATCCCAAAATTACACAAAAATTCACCCAAAAATAACCCAAAATTAACCCAAAAATTACCTTAAATTAATCCAAATTTGGCCCCAAATTAACGAAATTAACACTAATTAGTGCAAAACGAACCCAAAAATAACCCCAACACTAACCCAAAATGATCCCCAAAATTATCCCAAAATTACACAAAAATTCACCCAAAAATAACCCAGAATTAACCCAAAAATTACCTTAAATTAATCCAAGTTTAGACCAAAATTAACCCAAAATTAACACTAATTAATGCAAAATTAACCCAAAAATTAACCTCAATTACCCCCAAAATGCCCCCAAAATATCACCAAAAATAACCCAAAATTATTCCAAAATTAACCCAAAATTAACACTAATTAATGCAAAATTAACCCAAAAATTAACCTCAATTACCCCCAAAATGCCCCCAAAATATCACCAAAAATAACCCAAAATTATTCCAAAATTAACCCAAAATAAATCCAAAATTAACCCAAAATTTTCCCAAAATTAACCCCAAATTAATCTAAAATCACCCCAAATTAAACCAAAATTAACCCAAAATTAAATTAATCCAAAATTCTTCCAAAATGAACCAAAAATTATTCCAAAATTAATCCAAAATTAATCCAAAATTCACCCAAAATTAACCCAACATCAACCCCAAATTAATCTAAAATCACCCCAAATTAAACCAAAATTAACCCAAAATTAAATTAACTCAAAATTATTCCAAAATGAACCAAAAATTATTCCAAAATTAACCCAAAATTAATCCAAAATTAACTCCAAATTATTCCAAAATTAACCCAAAATTAATCCAAAATTAACTCAAAATTATTCCAAAATTAATCCAAAATTATCCCAAAATTATTCCAAAATTATCCCCAAATTAACCCAAAATCAACCCCAAATTAATCTAAAATTACCCAAAATTATCCCAAAATTAACCCAGATTAACACCAAAATTAATCCCAAATTTTTGGGAATTTTTGGAGTTCCCTGCCAAGAATCAGCCCCGAAAAAGCCCCCAAAAAATTCAATTTATTTCCGCTTTAAACCCCCATATCTCGGCCATTTTTTCTCCTATCCACCCCAAATTTTTTCTCCATAAATCCCAAATTTTTTTCCCACAAATCCCAAATTTTTTGGGAATTTTTGGAGTTCCCTGCCAAGAATCAGCCCCGAAAAAGCCCCCAAAAAATGAATTTTTGGAGCTTGACTCAAAAAATCAGCCCCAAAAATGCCCCAAAAAAATTCAATTTATTTCCGCTTTAAACCCCCATATCTCAGCCATTAGGAAGTGGCTGGGAGGGAAATCTGGCAAGTTTTTGGGAATATTTTGGGAATTTTGGGGGAATTTTTGGGATTTTTTTGAGGAATTTTGGGGATTCTTTGGGGATTTTCGGGGGTTTTTAGGGAGCGGTTGAGGGCGGTTGTGAGGAGGGGTCTGGGGAGTAACTCGGGCACGAAGGGGTTAAAAGTGGCTGGGAAAGGGTCAACAATGGTCGGGAAGGGAAATTTGGGAAGTTTTTGGGAATATTTTGGGAATTTTTTAGGTGTTTTTAGGATTCTTTTGGATTTTAGAGGGAGTTTTTGGTGATTTTTTTGGGAATTTTCCCTGATTTTTGGGGTTTTTTTTTGCATTTTTGGGGGGTTTTAGGGGTATATTGGAGTGATGCGGGCATGAAGGGGTTAAAAGTGGACAGGAAGTGTCTGGGAAGGGTGGGAGAAGGAAATTTGGGAGTTTTTGGGAATTTTCTGGGAATTTTGGGGAAATTTTTGGAGTTTTTTGGGGAATTTTCAGAGGTTCTTAAGGAGCAGTTGAGGGCGGTTGTGAGGAGAGTGTGGGGGAGACGAGGGCATGAAGGGGTTAAAAGTGGACAGGAAGTGGCTGGGAGGGAAATCTGGCAAGTTTTTGGGAATATTTTGGGAATTTTGGGGGAATTTTTGGGATTTTTTTGAGGAATTTTGGGGATTCTTTGGGGATTTTCGGGGGTTTTTAGGGAGCGGTTGAGGGCGGTTGTGAGGAGGGGTCTGGGGAGTAACTCGGGCACGAAGGGGTTAAAAGTGGCTGGGAAAGGGTCAACAATGGTCGGGAAGGGAAATTTGGGAAGTTTTTGGGAATATTTTGGGAATTTTTTAGGTGTTTTTAGGATTCTTTTGGATTTTAGAGGGAGTTTTTGGTGATTTTTTTGGGAATTTTCCCTGATTTTTGGGGTTTTTTTTTGCATTTTTGGGGGGTTTTAGGGGTATATTGGAGTGATGCGGGCATGAAGGGGTTAAAAGTGGACAGGAAGTGTCTGGGAAGGGTGGGAGAAGGAAATTTGGGAGTTTTTGGGAATTTTCTGGGAATTTTGGGGAAATTTTTGGAGTTTTTTGGGGAATTTTCAGAGGTTCTTAAGGAGCAGTTGAGGGCGGTTGTGAGGAGAGTGTGGGGGAGACGAGGGCATGAAGGGGTTAAAAGTGGACAGGAAGTGGCTGGGAGGGAAATCTGGCAAGTTTTTGGGAATATTTTGGGAATTTTGGGGGAATTTTTGGGATTTTTTTGAGGAATTTTGGGGATTCTTTGGGGATTTTCGGGGGTTTTTAGGGAGCGGTTGAGGGCGGTTGTGAGGAGGGGTCTGGGGAGTAACTCGGGCACGAAGGGGTTAAAAGTGGCTGGGAAAGGGTCAACAATGGTCGGGAAGGGAAATTTGGGAAGTTTTTGGGAATATTTTGGGAATTTTTTAGGTGTTTTTAGGATTCTTTTGGATTTTAGAGGGAGTTTTTGGTGATTTTTTTGGGAATTTTCCCTGATTTTTGGGGTTTTTTTTTGCATTTTTGGGGGGTTTTAGGGGTATATTGGAGTGATGCGGGCATGAAGGGGTTAAAAGTGGACAGGAAGTGTCTGGGAAGGGTGGGAGAAGGAAATTTGGGAGTTTTTGGGAATTTTCTGGGAATTTTGGGGAAATTTTTGGAGTTTTTTGGGGAATTTTCAGAGGTTCTTAAGGAGCAGTTGAGGGCGGTTGTGAGGAGAGTGTGGGGGAGACGAGGGCATGAAGGGGTTAAAAGTGGACAGGAAGTGGCTGGGAGGGAAATCTGGCAAGTTTTTGGGAATATTTTGGGAATTTTGGGGGAATTTTTGGGATTTTTTTGAGGAATTTTGGGGATTCTTTGGGGATTTTCGGGGGTTTTTAGGGAGCGGTTGAGGGCGGTTGTGAGGAGGGGTCTGGGGAGTAACTCGGGCACGAAGGGGTTAAAAGTGGCTGGGAAAGGGTCAACAATGGTCGGGAAGGGAAATTTGGGAAGTTTTTGGGAATATTTTGGGAATTTTTTAGGTGTTTTTAGGATTCTTTTGGATTTTAGAGGGAGTTTTTGGTGATTTTTTTGGGAATTTTCCCTGATTTTTGGGGTTTTTTTTTGCATTTTTGGGGGGTTTTAGGGGTATATTGGAGTGATGCGGGCATGAAGGGGTTAAAAGTGGACAGGAAGTGTCTGGGAAGGGTGGGAGAAGGAAATTTGGGAGTTTTTGGGAATTTTCTGGGAATTTTGGGGAAATTTTTGGAGTTTTTTGGGGAATTTTCAGAGGTTCTTAAGGAGCAGTTGAGGGCGGTTGTGAGGAGAGTGTGGGGGAGACGAGGGCATGAAGGGGTTAAAAGTGGACAGGAAGTGGCTGGGAGGGAAATCTGGCAAGTTTTTGGGAATATTTTGGGAATTTTGGGGGAATTTTTGGGATTTTTTTGAGGAATTTTGGGGATTCTTTGGGGATTTTCGGGGGTTTTTAGGGAGCGGTTGAGGGCGGTTGTGAGGAGGGGTCTGGGGAGTAACTCGGGCACGAAGGGGTTAAAAGTGGCTGGGAAAGGGTCAACAATGGTCGGGAAGGGAAATTTGGGAAGTTTTTGGGAATATTTTGGGAATTTTTTAGGTGTTTTTAGGATTCTTTTGGATTTTAGAGGGAGTTTTTGGTGATTTTTTTGGGAATTTTCCCTGATTTTTGGGGTTTTTTTTTGCATTTTTGGGGGGTTTTAGGGGTATATTGGAGTGATGCGGGCATGAAGGGGTTAAAAGTGGACAGGAAGTGTCTGGGAAGGGTGGGAGAAGGAAATTTGGGAGTTTTTGGGAATTTTCTGGGAATTTTGGGGAAATTTTTGGAGTTTTTTGGGGAATTTTCAGAGGTTCTTAAGGAGCAGTTGAGGGCGGTTGTGAGGAGAGTGTGGGGGAGACGAGGGCATGAAGGGGTTAAAAGTGGACAGGAAGTGGCTGGGAGGGAAATCTGGCAAGTTTTTGGGAATATTTTGGGAATTTTGGGGGAATTTTTGGGATTTTTTTGAGGAATTTTGGGGATTCTTTGGGGATTTTCGGGGGTTTTTAGGGAGCGGTTGAGGGCGGTTGTGAGGAGGGGTCTGGGGAGTAACTCGGGCACGAAGGGGTTAAAAGTGGCTGGGAAAGGGTCAACAATGGTCGGGAAGGGAAATTTCGGAAGTTTTTGGGAATATTTTGGGAATCTTTTAGGTGTTTTTAGGATTCTTTTGGATTTTCGGGGGAGTTTTTGGTGATTTTTTGGGAATTTTCCCTGATTTTGGGTTTTTTTTTTTTGCATTTTTGGGGGGTTTTAGGGGTATATTGGAGTGATGCGGGCATGAAGGGGTTAAAAGTGGACAGGAAGTGTCTGGGAAGGGTGGGAGAAGGAAATTTGGGAGTTTTTGGGAATTTTCTGGGAATTTTGGGGAAATTTTTGGAGTTTTTTGGGGAATTTTCAGAGGTTCTTAAGGAGCAGTTGAGGGCGGTTGTGAGGAGAGTGTGGGGGAGACGAGGGCATGAAGGGGTTAAAAGTGGAGAGGAAGTGGCTGGGAGGGAAATCTGGCAAGTTTTTGGGAATATTTTGGGAATTTTGGGGGAATTTTTGGGATTTTTTTGAGGAATTTTGGGGATTTTTTGGTGATTTTCAAGGGTTTTTAGGGAGAGGTTGAGGGCGGTTGTGAGGAGGGGTCTGGGGAGTGACGCGGGCGTGAAGGGGTTAAAAGTGGGAAGTGGCTGGAAAAAGTCAGGGAGGGAAATTTGGGAATTTTGGGGAATTTTTTTAGGGTTTTTGGGAATTTTTTGGTGATTTTTTGAGGGATTTTGGGACCGTTTTGGGGGGATATTGAAGAGCGATGCGGGCACGAAGGGGTTAAAAGTGGGCGGGGAAGCGGCCGGGATGGAACTTTGGGATAAATTTGGGAGAATTTTGGCAATTTTCGGGGAATTTTGGCAATTTTGGGATCGTTTGGGGATGATTTTGGGGAGTTTCGGGGGGTCCCGGAGCGATTTTGGGGGAATTTTTGGGGAATTTTGGGGAAATTTTGGGAAATTTTGGGGGATTTTGGGAATTTTTGGGGGATTTTGGGGAGGTGCTGGGATTTTTGGGAGCCTTGGTGGGATTTTTTAGGGGGGTCTGGGGGAATTTTGGGGGGAAAATTGGGGATTTTTGGGGAGAATTTGGGGAAATTTTGGGATTTTTGGGGAAGTTTGGGGGAATTTGGAGAGGTCCCGATGGGATTTTGGGGGAAATTTGGGGATTTTGGGGGATTTATGGGAATTTGGGGGAGTTTGGGAGGGTCCTTGATTGGATTTGGGGGAGTCTGGGAGGAATTTTTGGGTTGGATTTGGAGGAATTTGGGGGAATTTGGGGATTTT